GACGAGCTTGCAAATTCTCAGAATTCAAAACAAAACAAAAAACAAAACAAAGCACAGAGAATGTTAGTGGTATAGGAAACTTAAAGATACATTCAGTCTAATAATCTCATTTCACAAAGAAAATGAGACTCAGGATGGTATGACTTGCCCAGAATAACCCCACAAAATAATGAAGGGGCTACAGCTATTGCGTTTTCACTGTTTCTTGTAGGCACACACCCACGTGGTTGGGATTTGGGATTTTGGGTATACGCTCTCTCTCCTAAATACACAAGACACTACATAGGCACTGAAGAAGTTTCCAGGATTTCCAGTTACAATGGCCAAATTGAAATGTTACGACATCTGCCCTATTTTTCAGGCAGTTTCTCAACATTAAAGCCAATGCCAATTATTCAGCATTTAGCTCATTTAACTGAAGCTTCTGAAGAGCAACTGTGATCCTGGAGCTTCACTGTGTGAGCTGGAAAGGACGGAGAAGCATTTTCTTTTTCAAGAATGCGGGGTTGGACAGATCCTGGAATTGGGGTTCTCATCTCGGCCCTCCTACTAAGCCAGCTGTCTAACTTCAGCCAAATCTCTCTGAACCATCAGTTTAGACAGTCTCTTAGCTTTCCCCCATTTCTGACCATCTTTGACTTTACCTTCTTAAAATGTCATCATTAGGAACATTCATGAAATACGCTCATATGTACACTGCCCGGCTAAGCACAAGACAAAAATAGGATGAGACAAGATATGTGCCTACTGGGAATCTATCATTATTCTGACCATCATCCCTGATGTGGGAAGATGAGGCAAGGACATAGAATCCTACTGACACCTGTTGTTAGACTACCCACCAAGGGACTATGCATTCAAGCCTCCCTTAAATGTGTTTCCTGGGAAACAAAGCTCCCTCCCCACCCAGACACAAGTTTCAGTGAAAAAGTCTATTGTGAATAGACTAACGTACTCAGTAATAGCAAAATAAGTTTGTACAACAAATATGCTCTCTGGTCCCTGTCCGTGTAATGTTCTATGTATAATTTTAAAAAATAGCACTGATCCTATTTTTGCACTAATGGACAGGGAAGCACAGAAATAAGCTGCGTTAAAACTGGGCTCCTAATGATTGCATCGTCTCACTGACAGTACTAATTCTCCAAATCTTTCACCTCTCTTGACTTTAAATGTTCCAGATGTTTCCAAAAAAATCCAGTTATCTTAACAAAGAGTTCACCAGCTTTTAGCTTGCGGAAGGCGCTGGAAGTGGTGCCCAGGTGGCGGGGACACCCACCGTGCCTGTCTGCACAGAGCTTTCACGCCCAGGGGTATCAGGTAAGCATTCAGATCGTTGTCCTACTAACTCAGCACAACAGCGAGGCTACTGGGACTCAAGCCTCAGGAAGGAAATGTATTCTGTTGGTGAAATCATGGGTGGGCGTATGGAGGAGGCGGTGCCTGAGGTGAGGCTTGGAGGGCAAACAAGATTTTGATCTGTAGGGATGGAGAGTAACAGGCATTTTTGGTGGAGGGTGACCATAAACAGAAGCATAGAACGGAAAGAAGCGGGGGTCAGGTTTAAGGCACAAGAAGTAATCCAGGTTCTCTGGATAGTTGTCTGCGGGCAGGGAGGAGAGGAGAGGAATGACATTCTATAAAACTTCGATGTGAGAGTGAAGTGTTTGTACTCAATGTTATAAGCCATGGAGACTAACAGGCTTACGGAAGATGGGAGTAAGATCATAGAACTATAGAAATTTTGAACTCAAGATCCCTGCACCTTCGCTTTCCAGACAAGGAAGGCAGAATACGAGCCCAGACAGGCGGCCAGGTGCCGAATCCCAGTTCTCTGCATTGCAGCCACTGTTTCACGGGGTTACCCTGGGAGCGGGGTGCAGGGTGGGGAAGACAGAGTTTGGGCAGGACAGCGATGTGGCAGCTGTCACAGAGTCCAGGAGAGAAGTTCAGGCGGAATGATGGGGAGCTGAGCCTCGGGGGACAGTCGAGGAGTGGTAGTCAGAGATGGGGCTGGGGTTTGGGGAGCTCACAGAGTCCCCCTGCCCCTCCTCCATAGGGCTCAGGGTAGTAACTTCTCATTCACATCAGAGAGGCAGGCATTTGATTTGGTTCACTAGCAAGTCCGGAAAACAAGGAGTCAGCGAGTCCCTCCTTGTTCTATGATCTCTTAGCCCTCCCTACCCCCTTTCAATACTGCGCAATCTGTAGAAAAAAAGAGGCCAGAAACCAGTGGTAACAGAAGCAGCCTTGGAACTAACTGTTCCTTCAAGGGACCAGTAGATGATTCCAGGATTCAGGCAACTCTGAGGCTTTTCTTCCTAGTATTGCTAAAGAGTGCCCAGGCATACTACGGCCCAAAGCCACTTCGCGAATAAGGACTTTCCGCGCACAGGGGTGCTTCCCCGAGGGCCCTACCACACAGGGATGTCAGTGCAGAAGCATCCAGTTAGTGCCGCCCCCTCCCGGGCCTGTCTCTGGCTCACCAGCCTCCCCTCGGGTCTCCCGCCTTGTCCCTCATCCTGACCTTCAGCTCATCCTCCCTGTGACTTCTTACTTGGACTGGCTCATCAACCTAGAGCTGGGATGTCCTGAGTCTGTTTGACAAAGGCACAGATGTGGCAAAGTTTAACAGTCGGTGTGAACGCGGAACTTTCGGGTGTGCAGAATTCTGGGCAGCCCACTTCTTCTCTTCTACCCGGCCCTCCGTTTGTAACAATTCATAAAGACAGAACCAAGAAAGACATTGTGAGGGGCAGCTTCTGTCCTAAAGACAGAGCATCAACCCAAGAGATTATTTTCTCACCAGAGCAATGATTACACATAGTAGGAGCCCAATCGGGTCAGGCAGTGGATCTCTGACACCTTCTGATCCTTGTCTTGGTCAGTTCCTCTTTCTCATCAACTAAGAGGAGAACCGTCATCAAGCCCAACTGATTTCAACCGACCTGGTGGGACAAAGTCACCTTTCACTTTCCACTATGAACTGTGCCCCAGAGTGCTTGGTGTCCCCTCTCCCAGGCTCCCGCCACAGGTCAGGTGCACGGGACAGCTCAGGCTCCATGTGGAGGACCAAACTGGACCTCAGCACAGAGATCAGCTTTAGGAGCCCCTCTGCAGGGACGGGAGGCGGCAGAGTAGGGTGGTTTTGTGAGCAGCCTCTGGAGGCAGACAGGCTGCATTCAGCCCATCCCTGCTAATGATGAGCTGATGGCCTTGAGCAAGGTGCCTGACCTCTTTCCACCTTGCTTCCTTCATCTGTAAAATGGGAATAAATGATAGAGTGGATAGCCAATAGGTAGGCATACAGAATACATGAGTTAACAAGATATAAAGCGCTCGGCATAATAAGTGCTCAACTTAAGAAATTCCAGGTGCTTTTAACAACGCAGCTCTGGTGTTTGCGCCACTGAACAGCCGGTGACTGGTAGCTTAGGGCAGAGGCCAATAAGGGTGACAAAGGTACTCTCTAGATATGCCAACTGCGCACAGGAGCAGCAGTGCAATACCTGGCCGTGTCTAAAAGAGCTCAGAAAATAGTGGCTCCTCACCTGCCTCCTTGAGCAATGGCTCTGGCTGGTCCGCCCCTGCAGCCTTCTTGCCTGGGCGACTGCCAGCATGAGGCTGACCTGGACGGGCATGCACACAGCCTAGTGGGTTTGCAAGGTTTCAAAGGGAAGAAGAGAGAAAGAGAGAGACAGGGAGCTCTCGAGACAGCTATTTCAGGGGGACTTTTCAGTGCCTTTTCGCTTTGCCGGGGAGGGGGTGCGGTTTCTGGACGTCAGGCCCTGTGAGCCTCCGGGTGTCTTAGGCCATTTAGCGTGTCAGACCTAGGAAGGGCTCAGGGACCATCTGGTGATCTTTTGCAGCTAAGGAAACCGAAGCCGTGGGTAGTGACTAAATTGTCCAAGGTCACCCAGTCCGTTCAAAACCAGGGTGAGTTCTCTGGGGGCCTGGTGTCCAGGGCAGGGCTCACCCCACCTGCCACGACAGGCTGGCTCTTGGGTTTCCTGAACCCCGGCTGACTTCTGGTCCTGTCTCCAGGTCACAGCCGGGCTTGCTCCTGCGGGTCTTGACTTTCCCTCAGTTCTCTGGCCTGCAGGCCCTGCCCCAGGCATCCGGGGTTCCTGCCTCGCTCTCCCAGCTCCCAGCGCATGCATCCTTGCCGTGTTCTGTCCTGCCCGCTCCTGCACACCTGCCCGCTCCTGCCCAGGGGAACCTGCGCCCTAGGGCCTCTTACGATTCCACGGTCCTGCCTGGGCGACACCCAGAAGGGATACACAGGAGGACTCGAGTTCTCTTTGCCCCAGAACCTGTTTCTCTCTGCTCTTCTCTTTCACTCCATTTTTTGTTTGTTTGTTTGTTTGTTTGTTTTCTTCCCACTCTTTGCTCAGTCTCCTTCAGTCTTGCTCTCCTGCTGCATAGTCCCCGGTCTCCTCGTCGCTCTCTCCCTTCCAACCCCTTTCCTTTCCCTTCTCTTCCTTCCCTGGGTCATTTTCGAGTTTGCATCTTCCCGGTTCTCTCTGTGCTCTGCCCCTTTCCTCTCCCCATCTCTCCCCCCTTCCCTTTCGCTGACCCTTCAACACATCTGTTTCCAATCTGGGCCCTGGAGGCGCCTGTTTGAAACAAAAAACCTCCCCCGCCCCGCCCCCTCCCCCCCCCACCCCGCCCCGGGCAGGAACCTGGCACAAAAATTCCTGAAGAAGCCTTTCCCTCCCCAACCCTTCAGCTTCCCCACATACTCCTGAAACTAAACACCAGCCCCCCGAAAAAGACCCTCCCCATCAAACGGTTCACAACCCAGCAGGACCAGGCACCAGCTCCAGCCCCGAGTGTGCTCCAGGGCCAGATGTGCTCCCCCCCGCAGCCGGGAGGCCGGCAAAGAGGGGCCGCCTCCCTCCAGGGCTGCGGCACCACCGTCCGGAGCCAGCGTTCGTTCCCGGACGCAGGCGTGTGTCTGCCCTGGTCCCGCGGTCCCCCGCCCTCCCCGAGGCACTCACCTAGCCAGAGGAGGCGGAGAAGGGTCATCCCGACGCCCGGCGCGGGTGCCTCCCCGTTCAGCCGCTGCTTGGCGCCGGGGCGGCGGGGTGCAGCCGACGGACCTCGGGCGAGCTGGGCGCGGCGCCTCCGGGGGCTCGCGGGGTGACTGCGGCCATGTGCCGCCGCGGGAGCGGCCCCGCGCCACGCGCTCCCGCTCGCAGACGGGCTTTCGGCGCGCGCCCCACCGGCTGGCGCCCAGACGGGAGCGGGGACCAGGGTTGGGGAGGAAAAAGCGAGGCGGAAAGACGCTAGCGCTCCTGGAACACTTTTCCCTGTTTGGAAAGAAAAAGGAGTGGAGAAAGAAGGGGAAAAAAAATAGAGTGAGCTGAAACCACATGGTTGCCTCCTCCCTGCAGCCCCTCCCTCGTGGCTCGCCCCCGCCCTCCCGGCGCTGGGGTGCGCGGCGGGGAGGGGGCCGGGCCGGGCCGCACCTCGGGGCCGGAGGGGACCGGGGGTGGGGTGGGGGGGCGGCTGAGGCAACGTGGCTGCGCGGGCGCGCGGTGTAGCATCGAGTCTGTGTAGGAGAAAGTCGGGGGCACTTCAGCCAGGAGCCCAGGGATGAGGCCTTGTCTGCGTGCCCTGTCTCTCGTCTCACTTTGACCTCTCCTTGCCTCCCTTGCATCTCTCTTTCTCGCTCACATACACGCTCCCTGCTTCCATTTCTCTCTCCTCTCCCCTCTCCCCTCTCCCCTCTCCCCTCTCCCCTCTCTCCTCTCTCCTCTCTTCTCTCTTCTCTCTTCTCTCTTCTCTCTTCTCTCTTCTCTCTCTCTCTCTCTCTCTCTCTCTCTCTCTCTCTCTCTCTCTCTCTCTCTCTCTCTCTCTCTCTCTCCTGTATTTACATTCTTCTTGCCTATCCCCTCTCACCTCCTGCCTCCGATCTCTCCCTTCTCTTCTCCTCGTCTCCCTGGCCTCCCAGTCTGCTTTTGCCAACATGCAAGCCACACGGACAACTGCGCGTGGAAGTGGCGGCGGAGACAGCCAGACAGCGGTGGGGTTGCTGCCCTCCTGACTCACTGCCTGTGCGGCCACCGCAGCCACCTCCGCCTGGCTCTCCCTGGGGCTTTCGCTCCGGCGCTTTTCTGCCCTGTGGCCGGAGTTTACCATGGCCCACCCGGGGCCCGGGCAGAGCCAAGCTGGCCACCGCCGGGGGTGCGGGCCACAGCTCGGCGGACGGGGTCTGCGGCAGGAAGCACTGGAGCACGCCGCACCGCGAAGGGCCCTGGCCAAAGCGCGCACCGCCCCTCCCAGAGAGAGGAGGCCGAGGGCACGGCCTTCCCTCCGGGCCAGAGGGGCCGGCGCTCGCCGCCCGCCCCAGGGAGCTGGCCCAGGAGGGGGAGGGGGCAGGAGGGGCTCTGGGGGTCTATCCTGGAGGACCCTGCGGCAGCTAGCGGGCGGGAGGGCCTGGGAGAGGACGGGGCAGTGACCGCAGCGCTCAGGCCGCAGCTGCCCGCAGCTCGGACAGCTCCGGCTCGCGCCTCGCACCCCTGGCCTGGGGCCCTGGGCCGCACTCTCCGGCCGCCGCCTCCGGGCGCCCCTGGGGCAGTGGCTTCTCCTCCGGCCGCACTGAGGCCTGAGGAGCCGCTCGCTCACCTTCCTCCTGACCAGAGCCTGGGTTGGGGCCTGGGCCGGGGCTCTGAGAAGCGGGGCCGCTATTTGAGAGGGAACCCCCCGCCCCAGGCCGGCAGGCCGGAGGATCGCACATCTGCCCGCTTCCCCAGCCCTCTCTCCAGGAGCTGCGGAGGCCTCTCCAATGGACTAGTCCTGTTTGGGATGGAAACCAACCCATTTTATAGCCGAAGAAAGCGGGGGACGGGGGGGGGGGCCTGGGGACGTTAAGGGGCTCCTATGAAATCACTCGGGCTCCGGGGAGCAGGTAGGGTTGCTCCAGGAGGAGGATGCCGTTTGTTCCCCGCCTCCCGCCCCGGCTTCGGCTTCGCAGCGCCCTGTGTCAGCGTCCGCCCTGCACCAGAGGCTCTTCTTGCGTTAAGGACACAAAGGGGATAGAACGCGGTTATTGGCATTTTTTAAACGTTTGGAACTTGAATATCATGGCACCAACCGAGAACCTGGAACTGTATTAATTATTTAATATTTATCTTTTTATTTAATTCCTATGACAATGCTAAGGGATGGGCATTTTTAAATTTATTTTAACGATGAGGAAAGTGTAACCTAGAGATGTTAAATATCTTGCCCAAGATCCTACAATATTCAAACACCTCTATCACCATATTAATCTTCTAAAATATTGTTTTATAGTAAAAAATATGTAAAAGTTCTCTTTGGCTCTTTCCATTTTATACTTCTTGTCTAATAGGAGAAATAGTCCTAATTTGTATATGAATGTGTTACAATGTTAATTCTCAACGGCTGAGGAAAATGGGAAGGAAACTATAGAGAAGGTGGCTTTTTGTGATTTCTGCTTTGAAATTTTACTTAATTCTCTAGTATACTTTCAGATTTATAGGTTTACAGAAAAGTTACAGAAAGTACATTCTAATATACTTTCAGACTTACAGAAGAGTTACAAAAAATTGTACAAAAAGTTCTTAGATACTCTTCTCCAAAGTCCTCCTTTCATTTCTCTCTAAAAGAAATATCTTTGCAGACGTTTTCGGCCCCATCTCTAGCCTCCAGTGCCGGTGGCCTTTCTCCTGACCTGGTCACAGCACGGGCCCAGCGAGGGGGTGTGCACGTGACAGAGGTGCGCGGGGGCAGGCAGAGGTGTTTTCAAGCCGACATTGCTCAAGCTGCAGGTGACAAGACACTGTCAGTTCCAAGTCCTCAGTCACCAGCACAGGAAATGGTTTCACAAGGCTGAGACTGGGTCATAAACACCCAGGTCCAAAGTCCTATAGCCAGTCGATATTGGGCATATATTTCTTGGAGAAAGCCCTGGGCCCCTAGAGATGACTGTCCCTAAATCCAAAGCCTCTTTGCTGCTGTCGTGCATTTGTGGGCCAGAAGAGCAGGGTGCCTCTGGGGATGGCTCTGTGACTCAGCAGCCCCTGCCTACCTACCCTGTGTCCCACGGCGACTGGGCTGGGCGCCCCGCGGACCCACGGGGTATGTGGCCGTCCTTACCATAAATGGCCCTCCCTGTCCAGTGCGAGAGAAAACATCAACAAGTGAAAACTTTCAACAAAAATACTCAAAAGTTATGTGGTTAAGTGGCAGAATAATTTATCCTGACAATAACAAACACGGGCATTCCAAGAAAGGTCAGAGCCCCGCAGCCTGGGGTGGCCGCGGAGCGTCCTGGAAGAACACCTTCGCAGCCAGGCCTGAAGGGATGACTTTCATCTGATAAAAGGACCCGAGGAGGACGGCTGTGGGGCCCTTCAGGACACATACGTGGGCTGGGCGTGTTCGGGGGGCACTGAAGGAAATGATATACAGAGAATGACAAATCCGCGTTGGAGCAAAATGCCCTGGGGCAGTGAGCCCAGAGTGTATTTGTGAAGAGTCCCGAGTGTGAGCGAAAGATTCTGGAACTTTTCCACACTCGTTGAAAAACATTGAGTAAAATGGACCTTGATGAGAACAGTCGTTTCAGAGATGTAAATTGGCAGCCTTTGCCCCGGGGTGACCCCAGGAGCCAGCCCAGGAGGGAGAGCTTCTGTGGCCCTTCCGTATCATCAAGCTCCTACTCCCACGCTTTCGTATGGACAGTTGACATTTCCTCAGCATTTTGTAACGAGATGTGCACGTGCAGCGTCAAGACAAGCCCCTTCTTTTCCGCACTCTATGGGGAACAAAACCTCCTCTCTAGAGGACTTCTGGAGCCGCCTCGGCGTGTGCCAAACAGAGTGGGAGAGAAATGTGAAGCAGAGGAGCGGCTTAGAGCCTGTTGCGTCCAGTGGGGCGATGAGATGGGGGTGATGATACTTGGAGGAAAGATGCAGCAGGTTAAACATCAGGTGGTCACGGTGGGAGAGGAAGCAGGAGACAAGAGACGCGCCAAAGGTAGCTGTAAGTGACCTAATATATTTTATACATGCTAAGATCAAAGTGTTGTTGATAAGCCTCATGATACCATACTACGATGAGGAAACTGAGGTTGAGAGAGATTAACTGATTGCTTCTCCTTCTCGGGTTAGTGAATGATTGAGGCCGGACTTAAAGTCAGAAGGTTGAAGGCCCATCTACCTCACGCCCCCTCTTTTTTTTTTTTTTTTTAACTGGGGAGTTAAGTAAGTTAATTTGTCAGGAAGAGAAAGATACATTTAATTTGAGACATGGTAACTTTGAGGGGAGAACAAACCATTATCCATTTATCAGTTTATTCATTTATCGATCCACGTTTGAACTGTTTTTAATCTATAATTTACGGAATCTTTTTTAAGCACCTCGTATGTGCAAAGTCAGGAGTGAGCAGAGCAAAAGTCCGCGCCATCCGGGTGCTTTCCGTGAGGAAGGACAGCGCTCTCGGCGTGCGGGGCGGGGCGGTGAGAACCGCTCCGAAAGGGACGCGCGGTGCCCTGAGGCTGAGCCCCCGCGCCCGCCCCGCGGAGGAGCGGTCGGGAGCCCTGCCCGCTGGGCGGAGGGGAGCGCGGCCAGGGACGGGGGACGGGAGGCCTCTGTCGTCTCATCTCAGAGGGCCCTGGGCCCGTGGACCACGTCCTTCAGTCCCGTCGAGCTTCAGCATCCAGCCACGCGCAGGCGGGCGTCTCGGGGGAGGACGTGCCCAGGAGGGCGGCGAGGCCTGGAAGGCGGCGCTGGGGCGGTGGCAGAGCGCGGGGCTGCGAGGCCGGCAGCTCGGGCTCCCAGGGGCCTTGGGCAGGTCCCTTCCGTGAGCCGCCCTCCTTCTTCTCCCAACACGGTTGTTACGAGGAAGAATGAGACTGTAATGAACGTACCTACCATAGCATTTAACACTCAGGGGACTCAGTCAATACTTGTTCCAACTGAAACCTGAGTTCCTAAGAGTCCCTTCCCTGCAGTGGCAAAGAGCCAGCTCTGCCTCACTCCCTTTTCCTGTTAGCACCAGGTCATCTCTACATGGTCTTCCCTGTCCCACAAGGATACTCGCTGACTTGGCCATCAGCGTGCCATCTTTTCCCGGCTGCGCAGCAGGAGGTCCCGCCGGCTCTCAGGGACTCCACTGGGCAACGCTGGCCGAGGCTGTGTCCGGGGAGCCCCGGGTGCTGATGGTGGCTCAGGGATAAGGAGTTACCACCAGGGTGCAGAAAGCAGCTGTTCTCCTCTCAGAGGGCCTGGGAGTGGGGGAGGTGAGGATGGCTGGACCCCGCTCTGCCCCCACCATGAGACCATGAGCGGATGGCCCCCAGCTTTAATCTGTGTGGCCAGCTGAGGAAGTGGGGATTCGCAGAGGCAACTGTTTGCTGTAGGACATTCATCAGAGGGAATGACCTCCGTCTACCTGCAAAGACCCAAGACCCACAGGTCAGTCCTTCAACCCCAGTGGAGGTTTTAGGGGGCCAGTGGGAGAGCCAAGGGCCGGCATGAGAAACAGAGCCGGTTCACACAGCGGCTGAGCCTAAGGATTTACAGCCAGGTCTGGCGCTGCCACCACCCTCTTCCCTGAGGTCAGCTGGCCCGGGCTTCCCCGCTTCTCCACACACCCCACTTTCAGTTCCTGCTGAAGTAGCCCTGTCAGAGTTCAGGCTGTGGAGGAAGACTGGCTGATTATTATTATTATTTTTTTTTAATGAACAACAATTTTATTTCTCACAGCTCTGGAGGGAGGCTGGAAGTCCAAGATCAAGGTGCCAGTGCGGGTGGGTTCTTGACGAGATCGTCTTCGGAGTCGCAGGCTGCCGCGTTCTTGCTGTGTCCTCGCATGACGGAAGGGCAAGGCGGGCTGGCTTTGAGTCCCCCTAACCCTCCGTACGGCACCGAAGTTGGGCAAGTTTCTTACCCTCTCTCAGCCGACGTCATTTCATTAATAAGATTTCTGTTGTGGTTGTTAAGGAGATTATGTAAGTCCCGGCCAGCGTGGCTCAGCTGGTTGGAGCATCATCCTGTACATGGAAACGTTGCAGGTTTGATTTCCGGTCAGGACATATCACTAGGTTTTGGGTTCGATCCCTGGTCGGGGCTTGTGTGGGAGGCAAGTGAATGATTTTTCTCTGTCTCTTTCTTTTCCCTTCTCTCTAAAAGCAATTTATAGAATATATATAAAATCTCCTCTGGTTGAGAACATCCAAGGGGAACCTGGCCCAGGCTTCCCACTCACCCAGCCCTGAGAGACGGCCCGGCCCGGGCGCTGCGCTAGTCCCGCGGCTGTGCAGCTGCTGCCCTGCTGTCAAGCTGGGCGGGCCCTTTGAGTTCTTTTTGGTCTAACTTCCTCATTTTTAGACTGAGACCCAGCCAGGGGATGTGTTATGTCAGGGTCACACTCAAGTTAGAGACAGAGTCAAGCTTGAGACCCGTTGCCTAGCAACCAGCCCATTCTCTTTCCAGCAGCGTGGAAAATTATCGCATAGAGTGTCTCTCTCTCTTCCTGAAAGGTCTGTAATGAGAACAGAAAACTCCACGATGTCTTCTGGCAAAAAATAGGTGTGCTGGGGTCCAGGGAAGAGCTGGGATTTTTATCTAGAAATGGATGAGGCTGTCGAAGCTGTGGAAAGAAACCGAGGACGACGTGTGCAAAGGCCACTGCTGACCTGTGGGGAGCTCATACCCCCGAGGGCCGAGATGCTGGGAGCAGTGAGCAGCTGCTTGCAGCTGC